ACCGTGATAATAATGATGACACGGATGAGGACTATGATGATAACTATCATCGTAGCATCCTCTGCGTCGCCGATGAGGTGAACTCATGCGTCTTGAGATGGTCCACAGGGAAACGGTCGGTCGGCTGCATCAGCGATCCAAAGATATCGGCAAATGCTTGGATGACTTCTGGTTTGTCATATGACTTAAGCTTCTTCAATCCAAGTGGAAGCTTAATCGGGTATCCTGATACTGGCTGTGCCTTCCTGTACTCGTCCATGGTTGGACATTCTCCTCGATGGTGGAAATAGAACTCTTCTTCCTCGAGGTTGACATCTGGATCGATGCCAGTGAGGCTCTCTTGCATTCTGTCAATTTGGGATGAGCTCCCTTTGGATCCTTGTCGTACTTCTCCATGAAGCGGATGAAGTTCCTTTTGGTCTCCACAAGCTCTTCCTCGGCGTCCTTCTTGCTCATTTCAATTTTAAGGTAGATTTCCTTGAGTTCCTGGATGAACTCGTCTAGGTTCTCGGGATTGTGATACTCCATGGTGACCTTCGGCTTGACGGATCTCTCCCCGGAGGGTTCCATGTTCTCCTCTTCAACTTCGTCCTGATCGGTGGAGTGCCGTCGCTTCTTGGTCTCTGTGGATGTATCTTTCTTGTTTTGGTGGTCGTTATTCACATGTTTGAAGAAGGCATCGGCGAATTCTTGGATCTTGCTGGTGTACATCTCAATGTCTTCACGACCGAGATTTTTCTTCATGATCCAGTTGTTACTCATTATGATGTTCCGCTCGGGATCAAATTCTGTAACAATGTTCCTCGCCTCGATGGTTTGTTCTGTCAATGCTGTTCGCTCTTCGGAGAGTCGGATGTCGTAGTCCTGGTCCTTGAGGAATGCCAGGGTGATGAGAAGAGTGATGATGATGATGACGACCATCATCATGATGATGATAAGGACGATCATGATGATGACTGTGATGATAACTATCATTGTATTTGCATGATCAGTGCTGCATAATAAGAGATGATGATGACCATGAGGATTATGATGATAAGGTTACTTTGCTTATTTTTGCATCACCAGCAGGAGTTATGAGAATTACGAAAACTGATCGCATCTCCATCTTCTGCATCTCAAACAAGCTACTGCAGGACTGATTCGCATGATAATGAGCACCTTGTTGGATGTTACAAGAAGTGCATCCAGTGTGTGGAAACTTGGGCAGGGCAACCATGTTGGGGGCACTTATTTTTCACAAGACTTCGTTGTGTTGCTGTGGATGCAAAGCAAAGCGTGGACTTTGTGTCATCGTTTCGTCTTCGCAAGAAGCGTTACACTACGCATCCCCTGCAACCCCAGTCGGGTCATGATGATGATGATGATGATCCTGATGATAACCATCACGACGCATCCCCAGCCTTACGAGCAGTTATCATGACAATCATTACTACGCATCCTCTGCATTTCTAGTCGGGTCTAACGGCACAATTGAAACGTATATGAAAAAGAAGAGCGCCGCGATAATGATGATGATCATCACTGATAATCATGACTATGCATCCGCAGCATCGCTTATGATGATGATGATCCTGATGATCGCACTACGCATCTCCAGCATCACCAGCAGTTATCGTGATGATATCCTGATGACAATCATCACTATGCATCCCCAGCACGAGCAGCAGCTATCATAACAATCATGACTAAAATGCATCACTGCATTCCAAGCCGGGCGAGCTTGAAACGTAGAATGCTGATGATCCAGATGCTGCGAACCCATCACCCAACATCAGTGGTGATGATAAACATCACGAAGACAAGGACGAATACAAACCCTTCCCATGCGCCTCCCCTTTGGAGAAAGGGGTCGGCGGATTGGGGTGAGTTGCCGAACTTCTCCACTTTGGTGGAATGGGGGCGAATTGTGCACAGAGCACAGTATTGAGTGAGCCAGATTGCTTTTCAAAAGGATTTCGATTAGATTTCATTTGGGTAAGATGCCACAATGATGGAGTCTCATCATATATCTATATTTTTGCAACTGCGCGGAGTTGACTTAAATTCGCGCAATGCCGGCATCTTTCAGGAAACATGCGCGGGAGCGCGCAGGTGGCCATTGCGCAGCTGGCGCGCCTGTCAGCCCCAGACATCGTGCTACAGCGCTGCGATGCGCAGAGTGGCGATTGCAGCGTCTGGTTTGGTCTTGTTCGTACTTGGCGAGTCGGAACTCAAATGTAAGGCTTTTCCCGAACTTGCGTTCGCCGAGCCGTGGCTTGCGTAACTTTGTCATCGCGCAACAGCCGTCTGTTCTCTCATTGGTTGCCAGTGTCAGATGAAGAACCGCCACTGCGCCGCTCATTTGTCCAGGTTGCTAGCCTGCTTTTGTAGCAAACGTTTGTCGAGTGTGGTCGCAACCAGGTATCCAAGCCCGCCACGGATCAGGCGTAGCTAGAGGCAACAGCTACCACAGCATCATCATGAAAACCAGAACTAAGGCTATGCTCGGAAAGAAAGCGCCCCATTCGCGTCCTCGACAGATCCTACTCCGAAGCACGTGGTCTGAGTGCATTACCACCGCTGAAGCAAGCGTCTGATGCAAGACTTTTGATTGCGACGGGTCGGCTGGCTGTGGAAGCTGTAATGTTGATTCGCCGGCGTATTTCGTAGGTGTGTGTTTGGACCAGCTCTGTTGCGCGCGCTCTGGGTGAATCTCGGTTCCGGTGAATCTCGGTTCCATCCTTGTTTTTACATGGCGTAATGTCCACATCATTTCTTCTTCGGACAGGAAGGTTTGATACCGTGCTGGATGTTCTGCGGCGCATCTGGGGAACATGGTTTGAAAATCCAGCAATATTGATTAGGCAGTCTGTGGATAGTGGCCGGTATCCAGACTCTCACGGCACGAACGACCCGAGCTTGGGATTTCCACCAGCTTCACCGATTCGTTTTTCTCTCGTGGTATGGGATGTGATGTGTGGAAGAAAACGGGGAAAGGGAGAGCAAGAGGGAAAGAAACGGAATCAGAAAGAGAAAGAAAATCACAAGGACAAGAGAAAGAAAAACGAAAGAGCGAGATTTTGACAAGTTCAATATTAAAGAAAACAAGGAGAAAGAAGAGAGCTCCGGCAAGAAGAAGAACGAACAGAGCGAAAATGAGCAAGCGCAGAGCGAAAGAAGAGAAAGAGAAGCAAGCAGAGAGAGAGAGAGAGAGAAAGAGGGAAAGAAAGAGACAGATAAAAAGAGAGAAAGGGACAGCAACAGGGAAAGAAATGAAAGTAGAAAGAGAAACATAAACACCAGGACAAGAGAAAGACAAAGGAAAGAACGAGAGAAAGAGAAGTTCAAAGAAAGAAGACAAAGAGAAAGAAGAGAGCTCTGCCTAGAAGAAGAACGAACAGAGCGCAAACGATCAAGACTACAGCGAAAGCAGAGAAAGTGAAGCAGGCAGAGAGCGCGAGAGCAAGAGGGAATGGAAGAGAAAGAGGGAAAGAGAAAGGGAAAGAGCAAGAGAGGAAAGGGAAAGAAATGGAAGTAGAAAGAGAAAGAAAGGACAAGGACAAGAGAAAGAAAAAGGAAGGAAAGAGAGAAAGAGATTCAAAGAAAGAAGACAAAGAGAAAGAAGAGAGCTCTGCCTAGAAGAAGAACGAACAGAGCGCAAACGATCAAGACTACAGCGAAAGCAGAGAAAGTGAAGCAGGCAGAGAGCGCGAGAGCAAGAGGGAATGGAAGAGAAAGAGGGAAAGAGAAAGGGAGAGCAAGAGGGAAAGAAATGGAAGTAGAAAGAGAAAGAAAGGACAAGGACAAGAGAAAGAAAAAGGAAGGAAAGAGAGAAAGAGAGATTCAAAGAAAGAAGACAAAGAGAAAGAAGAGAGCTCTGGCGAGAAGAAGAAAGCGAATACGAGCAAGGGAAGAGCGAAGTACAGCTACCAGGGCACAGGACGTGCTCTCTTGTGGCCATGAAATACGTCGAGCAGGCCAAGGTGTTTCTCCACCTCCGACCGAAGAAATTGTCATCGGAGTGATACAATGCCCCAATTTGACATATCGACTTTTCCTTCGTGAAAGTCCCATGAAGTTCGTACTCAGCCTGATGGCCGCGATCCTTGTCAGACAGGGGAGTCTGACGCTTTTTCGGGAGGTGCGTCTGGTTCAGAACTTTTCGGCCGGCTCTTTCCACACTGTCCAGGTTCGCTGTTTCATCAGCGCATCTATTGATTGACATATCTTTGTCCTGCTGCAATTGGTTGACATTCTTGGCAAGTTCAGTGGTGGCTTCACGAGCAAGTTCTTTGCACCGTTGATAAACTTTGGAACCTGTTGCAAATGCTCATCAAGCATGCGCTGGGAAGTCAAGTCGCCATTGGCGCTTTTTTCATGCGCATCCCACAAAAAAGACCAGGACACGTGGTGTGTGTGTGTGTGTGTGTTTGTGTGAAATACGGGTCTATATGAAGAGTCCGTGTCGGATTGGGACGCTCGTGCGCTGTCAACCAATCTCACTTTCGTGAAAATACGAATTCTGCCAACACCCCAATCTTGTCAAGGCCATGACAAGGAAGTTTGCTCAAAACGAAGTAACACGCACTTGAACTTGCAAAGCTGCGGATGCAAGTGCGGTTGTTCCGAGTCTGCAGCTGTTCGACAAATAGCCAACTGACAAGTGTATTCATGCTAATAGGAAAAAACTTCTTGAGCGATGTCTTCTCCGCGAAAGGTCATGATGCCTGAGCCGTGTTTAAAAAACATGGTGACCTCTGAGTGCATTCCTTTTTCTTCACTGAACATCTTTGAGATGGAAGCCAGGCCGCGCGTTAACCAGAGCTTGCAGCTCTATTCCAAGCACTTGATGTTCCTGTTTAAATCAATGACCAAGCCTGGAATAGTGCAGAAACAGCCGGCGATCCCCGAAACAAGAAACCGGGGGAGCCTGCAGAACTGGCTGACCTATATTGATCTGATAGCGCTTGCCCATGATTTGACAAAAGGGAGAGCTTCCGAGCTCGTTGTTTTGCGAGGCCTAAGAGTGGCCCTGCGCGCTGGGTGCCGCTCTGAGGCACATGAGGCTTCAAGAGCCGCAGCTTTGTGAGGTTTGCGCGACCTGTGGCGGTGACCATCGCACAAAGGACTACAGCAGCCAGCGAAAGCCATGAGAGCGGAGTGGCGCGCAATGCGCGTCACGCTCAGGAGTGCCCGCATGCCACCGGCATCCTAGGGGTTGGCGTCCAGCTGGGCATGCAGATGGGACTGCAGGCGGGGGTTGGACTCAGATACGCCTCTCAGAGAGATTTCGAAGGCGATGGGCTTGCCGACGCCGCCCATCATGCCCTTCCCCGGGCACGTGCCAATGGGTGGGGCCCTTGACCTCACCGGCTGCACGCGCGAACCCGAGCCGCAGGTCATAGCATGCCGCTGCCAGGACGCACTTTGTAACTTGAATCGTGTTGCAAACGTGAAATGCTGCAGATAGAGACTTTTCAGCACTCAGGTGTTTCCACTGTGTCAGGTGAGTCAAGCGAGCCAGTTGCAAGCTGAGTTAGGTAAGCCAGTTGAAATAGGTGAGTCGGTTAGTTGAGCGAGTTCAGTATCCAACACGCACGTGCGACGCTTTTCTAGCTTTTGCGCACCGGAGTGAGTTTGGCGCGTTGGGCGGGTCAGGCGAGTTGGGTGAATTCTGGACGAGATAGCCGGGCGAGTTCGGTGCGTTGGGTGAGTCGAATCAGTCCGGCGAGCAGGGCAAGTTCGGCCGGTACGTTTGTGTGAGCCGGGGCAAGTTTGGAGTCGAGCGAAATGCGATTTGGTCGCGCGAGTTGGGAGAGCTCTGTGAGTTCGGCGAGAAGGGCAGGTTCTGCAGGTCAGGTCACCTCTAACGCCCCAAAACACAGTAGCGAAAGAAGTAGTCCGACTTGATTTTGCGCGGGTGAGTCTTGCAGGCGGCGTGTGTCACTTCGCGCGTGATTTGAAGGCCGCAATGAAGTTAAGCTCCATGAAAACTGGGTTGCCACCAACGCAATATCTTGAGGCCAAATAAACCGGTCTTGAGGTCCTTAAAGAGAGAGCGTCGGCTCATCGGGGTGGGTGTTTGCATTTTTGTTTCGTTTCGTGTTTCTTGACATTGCTTGCTACAAGTTCACTTTCTTGCATTTGCAGTGAGAGCAAAGAGTGAAAGTGAGCATATGCAATGGATTCAGGACTGCAACGCACTTTTTTAGCGCAAAGCCGCAGAGTCAAAGCAGGTCGGTGCCAACACCCACCGCTCACAACATCCCTTTCTGGAGGTCTGTTGATTAGAGCCTATTTGGATGGCGGTTTTTTCAGTTTGCTAGATGCCAATAAGGAAACGGCAGTGCCTTTGACGCCTATCGTCGCGCACGCCAAACCACCCCTTGGCCGATTGAAAGCGCAGAAAAAGCCTCTGCAGCTGACAGCAGCAAACGCGTTTTTCGGTGGCTCTATGGTGTCACAACGCGTGCTGAGTTGCGAGCGCACGCCTGCACGCGAACGCTGGGGTAAAATTGCTCGCAGCGCGTCTCTATCTCTCTCCCTCTCTGTCTCCATCCCTCTATGCTCTATGTCTTTTTTCTCTACCTAGCTAGCTACCTGCCTGTTTGTTTGTATTTTTACCTACCTAAACCGTCTCTTTGAAAATCCACGTTTCCTTTCTCTATCTCTTTGACTGCTATCTCTATTATTCTCTCTATCTCGCTGCCTCTCTATCCCTATTTCTTTGTCTCCCCGAGCGTTGTTTGCCATAGATTCCCATGAAGCTTGGATATCTGGCCCCAGAATGTAGGGAGTCGGGCGAGATAAGAGTTGGGCAAGCTCGGCGAGTTCGGGGGGCGAAACACGAGGGTCTCGAGAGGCATGTCGATGGGCTTGCCGGGCATGGTCCCAGCCGAAAGCTGAGCGCGTGTACTGAGCGTAGCGCGTCTCCAGCTCGGCGTGCGGAGATTGAGGGCATGAAGCCGATGGGCGTGCAGCCAACTCAGCAAGAGAACGAGCGCGAATGAAAAGAGAACGACCTTGAGAGGGCTGAGAGACCTGTGCGAGAGATCTGAGACGCATGGAGGTTAAGCCAAAGCTCGTCCAGCTCCTCGAGTCCAGAACACGGACTTGTTCCCAATTGCCGAAAATCGAAAACTGATCTCAAGAGTTCCAGCGAGGCGAAAGTCCTGCTGGAACCCCTGAGAGCCCTGAGAGCCCTAGGGGCCTTGGCCTTGCCCCAAAGCGGACGTCTCAGCTGACTTGCGCGACTCTACTTACTCGACTCATGCTCTTCGCATAGCCTGGCATAGCCTTGTTTTTTTCCGCAAGGCGGAGGAGGAGAGTCAAAAAGCATCGCGAGGGCACCCAAGGCGCGCAACATATCGCTCATTCTCCTTATTTCTCCTTCACTGATTCACTCTCCTTCACTCCCTTTTGTTTGCGTAGCAAAAGGGTTCTGATATGTGCCGAGCTTGGGCAAAAGTGTTACTGTGTCTCAAGCCAGGCGCATCAAAAACGCAGGATGCGGATCTTTGCTGTAAAACATCTTTCCGTGCCCTGTTCTGCCAACGTTGAGACATGGGACGTCCTTTGCGCGCGATCACAGACACCCTAGCCAGGACCCTTGCAGAAGATTGGGTCAGTGGATACGTGTTTGCCCTCGCAATCTACTTGCAAGTGCCCTGAATGAAATGAAACATTAGACTCAACGTTTGCAAACATATTCATTTTTGTCCATGCACAAAAACTAGGAAATTTCCGCAGTTGTTGGGCTACTGACTGTCATGTGACGGTGCGCGTCATCCAACTAGAACTCATGTCTGGTACCAAGTGACAACTGCCATTGACCAAAGGCGTGCTTCGTCGGCGCCGGCGTGAAGGCACGTGCAAACCCGTCTTCATCTCGGGTTCCTTCCGACGTGTTTTGAAAGTGCCGCTTGTGCCACCGCCAGAACGCGATTTACCAGGTGAACTGCCGGGCCCTTGTGGCGCGATGGGCCATGAGGCCCTTGAGGGCATCGGTTTCACCCTTGCATGAGGCCCACAGATCGCCGGCGAGGCCTGGAAAAGAGAGTGAGAGTGGATGGCGCGAACTTGGGCAAAGCTGTTGCGAGTTTCGCCAAGGAACGCTCGGGGACACTCCCCATAAACATTTCAGCATTCATATCACTCATATTCTGTTTTGGGAGGAATTGGGCGAGACGCCTTGCCCGAGGCGAAGCGTCCGTGACCAAGGCGGGGGCTAATGCTCCGGCCAACGTGCGCGAAGTCGACTTTCGTGTCGTTCGATTCTGTTTTGGTTCACTTGGGCCACTTCCAGAAAAGCCGCGTGCCGCTCAGTAGAAGCTAGAGACCCCTAGAGACCTTTTGTTGGGATCCACCCCAACAACTCGGAGTGGTTCTATCATTGTACTGCTCTGCAAATGCGGAGTTGTGCGAGTGGGGATGTCATGTGAAAGTGTGTCTTGTGTGCCTTGCACAGAATCAAGCCTCAAGCCCTGCCAGAAGAAGATCGTCATGTCGGACTTGTGAGTCTTACACATGAGATTTCAGTTTCACGCCAAGAAAGCGCAGACCCCGGCCTTCTCAACAAGAGGCATTCAGCCAAATGGTATGAGAATGAGCCGCTGACACTGAGCTCCGCTTCAAGAGTGTGTGTGCCGGTGAAAACGCTCTCAAGACGGTTGCGCCCAGGCTTTAATGCTGCATCTGTAAGAGATCATTGAGCATGCAACTTCCGCCACGCCGTCAGATTCGATTTTGGCTCATTTTTGCTTCGGCGCAGGTGCCAAGATGAACCCAGCATGCAGCATTTGACAGCATGTGACAGCATGTGCTTCTGTACCACTGACTGGGTCTCGTTGCTCTTTAGATCGAGCCAAGCAATGTGGCCGAAGCCTTGGCCATTCGGCCGACGGCCTGTTACCTCCACCTGGCAGCCCGCAACCCGACAACCCTGCAACCCGGCAGCCCGCACCCACCCAAGCAGTCCAAAGCATTCCGAAGCATTCCGAAGCATTCCAAAGCTCAGCAAGGAATTCCATGCCAAGCTCACAATTCCGAAGCTGGAGCAGCTGAGCAGCTGTGATTGGCGCAAGCGCGCCTGGCCAGGGCGCCCGAACCTGAGTACCTGAGGGTAAGCATTTTGAGCAACACAAGCGCCCAAGAACTTCCCCCTCCCCCCAAAAATAGTACAACATATGTTGAGAGAAGTAAAATAAATTTCAGAACAATCAACAAAATATGATATATATATATATATCATGAATATCAAAAACAACACAGACAACAAACATCAACAAATCATAACAGCAACTCACAGCATACATATTACAATGTTGTTATTGTAGGATTTATGTTTATAATTCAAGTTCAGGATAATAATTTGATTGATGATGAGACAAAATTCTATATGCCTTACTTATTTCATACATCATTCTAATAATAATATTTGTATCTCTAACTGTATTTTTAATATTAAACTTTTTACTTTCAATAAATAGTTCAATATCTTCTTTAACATCTTCTCCTTCATTTTCATGACAACCCAACATCCATAATATTTTGTCTATCATTTCATATTTTTCTTACTAATCCTTCAAAAACTGATGAACATACTCATAAGGTGGGATTTTATAAACACTAAGAAATATTATGATGTCATCGTCTACATTTCTTTCATCCAATCTTTTAATTGCTAAATGTTTTTCTATTCTTCTATAATAGTGTCTCCATATTTGACAATCATCACATTCATCTTCTTTATCAAAAGAATAGTCAGTAATATTATCTACTAATACATTAGGTAAATTTAATTTGTATAATTCCATATGTCTTCTTTTCAAATGGCAACACTCATTACATTTCTTATTAATATACTTACTGATTTCAATGCCGTTCATTTTCTCACTAATATATTAAGTCATGGTTTCCTTAAGTCATTTTCAACGAATTCAATATTTTAAATTATTATTAACTTAAATATTATTAACTTAATTTAATATTAGCTTAAATCATTAACTTAAATTATTATTAACTTAAATTATTGTTAACTTATTATTATCAACTTAAAATATTATCAACATATTAGTATTCACAACATTTTTTTTTAAGAATTTAATTTTATTGTAAGGTTCATGGCTTATAAGTAAAAGTCATCCATCTCTTGAAATGTTGCTATGAATTCATTTGTTTCACTTTCAGTATCACGGTCTTCATTGAATAGCACTTCATTTAACGTATCTGCTATTTCCATTCCGAAACTTTCTCCATAAAGATGATTGTGATGTTCATCTTCATTTATATCAATATAATGTAGAATTTGAAAGAATTTATTAAGCAAGTTATTCATCTCATCATAGGCGTGTTCAATGTTTTCTCCGTTCATATCCCACACAAATTTATAGAGTTTCTTTTCCAATGTTTCCATTGCTTCTCTTGTTTAATGCTCCAATATAAGATTTGCAAAAGTTGGCGATGTCTGTTGCTTAAATTATTTAATTTTGGTATTTCAAAGTATAATGCCAGTTTGATACTATGTAAATCAAAGTTGTCATTGTCATATCCATATCGGGTTCCATGATTTATAATCATTATCATTTCTTCACATTTTTCACACCTGTAATTGGTTGATATGTGTTTGATAATATCTAATGGAAATGATTGGGATGTCATTTGTAGTCTGACAGTTGTTTTAGCCCATTCCTTACAGAAATAGACATTACACCATTTACACATAATTTCTTAAAACTGATTGTTTTGCTTTGTCTAAATCTTCAGAAGTATTGATTTTATATAAACTTACATCGCTTTCAGTATCACTCATGTTTCACTTACTATATTAACGGCCAGCCCCTGAGGTTTGCCTGCGCCCCGAACCAACGCCCCGACACAAAATCCCTAAACCTAAACCCCAAAAATCTTAAATCCAACCCCTAAAAACCCTGAACCTCAACCCTAAAAAACAGAAACCTAAACCCTAAAAACCCTAAACCTAAACCTTAAAACCCTAAACCTAACCCTAAAGACCCTAAACCTAAACCCTAAACACCCTAAACCTAAACCCTAAAACCTTAAACCTAAACCTTGAAAAACCCCAAACCTGCTTGCTGAAACCTAAACCCTAAAAACCCTAAAAACCCTAAACCTAAACCCTAAATGCCTAAACCTAAACTCAGACCCCCTTGCTACCCACGCCCTCGTGGTACCACGGCCCCACGTTCTGAAGAGAACGCAGGTCACCACGTGTCAGGTATGGCTGCACGAGTTCTGCTACTTGAGTAGTAAAGGGTGCCATACTTGAGCCACGTGCTGGACAACGGTGGATTAGGGGGTGCCGGCAAACCACGGGGGCTGTGGGTATATTAAGTCCTTATTTCTTTAAGTCACTTTCAAAGAATTCAACATTTTAAATTATCATTAGATTAAATGATTGTTAACCTAAATTATTATTAACTTAAATGATTTTTAACTTAAATGATTATTAACTTAACTTGTTATTAACTTAAATTATTATTAACTCAAATTATTATCAACATATTACTATTCAATACATAACTCTTACAATCAAATTAAATTGTAAGAATTATGGGTTATTTCAATTACACATGTTCATCAACAATTAGTTTAAGCCTTATGTTTTTCACTCCTTTAAAATTCATTCTACTTCCCGCATCATCCATACAACTGTTTATTTCTTGATACGACGCTCTCATTACATCAGCTATAATATCTATGGTTATATTATCTACAACATCATCACTATGACCATTAAAGTAAAAGTGCTAAATTCATCGTCTTCATAATAATGGAAATGATGAAATCTTACAAACATGTCTACCTTAACTATTATCGTTGCGTCATAACCTTGATTGGTTTCAATGTCATCTAACAAACAATCTAAGTTTTCATTTTCATTAAAAACTGTATCTTCAATGCTTTTAGTGCTTAAAGGTATATTTCTTGAAATGTAATACTTAATTACATGTCTCTTTACATCATCACCACCTATAACAGTATAGTGCATTGTCTTTTTTTTGTTTCAGTTCTGTTAATTTTATATCTTCTTTGTATTCTCTTCAATGCTTCATTATGATAATGCTTTATTTTCATATTTTGGCTTACCATATTTGTAGGACATAATATTACAAATAACTTCAACAGGTAATTTATTAATTTCCATTTCACTAATATATTAAGTCATTATTTCCTTAAGTCATTTTTCTAAGACCATATTTTATGATGTCCGTATGCTAAACTATCAGTTGTATTTATCCAGTATCTTTTGTTTTCATAGGAATTGAGACTAACTTTTTTTAGTAGTTATACTATATATATTGTGGTTTTTTGACCTAATACTATTGAATGATTTATGTATAACTTCATCAGTTTGTAAAGCTTTAGCATATTCTTTATATGTCAGTTGCCTCTTCACTACATGCTTTGCTGTGCCTTTGCATTTCTTGTGTTCTTTTTCTTCTCCATGAATTTTAACAGCATAACATTTAGGTCTTAACCCAATAAATCCTGTAATAGTTTTGCTACTGCATTCATCCTTATATTTTCCAAGAGCTGTTTTTAATTAGTAGTATCATAACATTTATGAGATATAGGATAATCTGAAAATTCCATTTCATTGTTAATTTCATTAAGGTCTTTATAATTGTCATTAGTTTTAGTATGAAATACACAACTATCAGTGTCAGTATAAACCATTCTAATATTATCTCCGTATTTAGGTTTCATAACATCATAATAAAACTTATAGATATGTTGCTTGCTTAAATCAAAAAATACTAATTCCAATGAATATAGGTTTATCTAATTTCAATTGTGCCTTCTGTTTTTTAACTACTACTCACTGATAATATGGCTATGTTTAAATGATGGATTATTAACACATTTCATAGATATTGTTTCATCACTAGCTATTTCAAAATCTAAATGTGTCCTTTTGTCTTCCATTGTTTTTCCGAACACAGCATTTTTCATTAATTTATAAACATCTTTCTCAAAATCATTTCTGGCTTTCTTTCTTTTCTCAGTGTTAAATTCAATGTAAGGTTTTAGTATTTCTTTCTGGTCATATTTAATTGCTCTATGGATTTTCTTTAATTTCACGCCATGTCTTAAATTGTTGAAATATGTAGCCCAATACGCATGTTGTCATATACAGTTGTACAGTTGAGACTACTGACATGTTTTGGCTCAAGAAAATAAGGCGCTCCGAAGCGGCCAAATAGATTTTCATGGCGGGGAGCAGTAAAGGTTCAGAGGGACCTAAGCGCTCAATTTGGTACTACGCCAGCAGAGGGCGTGGATCAGTACCGCCTTGGAGGCGGGGAGGCCGGCGGCGGTAGAGCCGCCAGGCGAGGAGGGCGCTTCGGTCGTGCCAGAGACCGAGGAGCTGCCCGAAGAGGCCCCGGTGGAGGAGACCGGGCCTGAGCAGCTCGGAGGAGCTGAAGAGGGGCCAGAAGAATTGGCCTCGCAACCAGATTGGTCCCCCAACGAGGAGAGCGTTGCCCAGCAGGCAGCTGAGACAGAGAGGATCTTAGCTAAGCTGCTGGAGGAGCCAGAGGAGCCGCCAAAGAAGAGAAAGAAGGGAGAGGATGAGCCCCCAGAGCCGAAGAAGCCGGCGCGCAAAGGGTGGATCGTCAATAGATCCACAGAGGCTTCAGCGTCGGACTCGGACGCCTGGGGCACCTGGCGATCTCCTTTGATCGCCCTGGCAGCCCCGTCCTCATCGCATCCGCATCCGGAGGCTGCCAGCAGCACAAGCAGCAGAAGCAGCAGCTGAGGAAGAGGAGGTCCAAGTAGAATCAGAGGAGGAGGCCCCTGCAGCAGCTGAGGAGAAGCCCGAAGAAGCAGGCAAGGGAAAGGGCAAAGGCAAGAAGGGCGAGAAGAAGAAGGCGCCCTGGCCCCGCGCGAAGGAGAACTCAGCCGGCAAGTGGAAGGACGGACGCCGGTCCAAGGAGGCGAGGTCCTACCGGTTCTTGCGGGGCTTGGTCAAGTTGAACTTGAAGCGCAACAACCCGATCCCGCCTGCAGTCCAGGAAGCCCTCGATAAGTTTGAGGAAGAGTACGGCTACGAGGTGCCTGTCCCCAAAGGCTTTGGC